ACCTGTTGTCTCGTGGGGCAGATACAACTTTGGTGACATCAACAATGCTGGTGCCTTCTGGACAATGTGTAGTTTGAGACACAGTGTGTTTCTCCAGCCACTGAATGACTTCCTTTGTGGCATGGCGGGGCTTCTGTTGGCCAGCAAGTGAACCTGTGCCCCAGAGGTGTTTACATTCACCTGGATGGGCATACTGCTTGTTCAATCCCCATCTGTCGTGCTTCCGAGTACCGTATCTAAGTCACGAAGACGACGTCTTTCTTCTCCTTTTCTACGGTAGAGGTGCCAGTCGTGTTAGGATCTTTGATTTCGTTCGGTTGGTATCTTGGGCAACCATTCTATTCCAGAACCTCACTTTCATCCATCTCAAGGACTTCCGAGGCAGACAGCTTTGGAATCACAAATAGCATCATGGCTATCAACGTTGCCGTAGAGATTGGCAAGCGCCTGTTTATCTGGGGCGTCCTGGCCATGGTGGCTCTCCCTCGTCAACACATAGATCGCACAGCTTGGTCGATAGGAGGAGGATTGTCGCATTCCTTTCGAAAACTACTGGCGGCTTCTGTAGCATTGAATCTGTGCAGACTGTTGGCCAAGCTCTATGGACACGCCCGATTGTTGGCTGATCTGTTGGGTATTCTCCAAGCGGTCAGTCTCAGTTTTTTATGTTTCTTGACTCCCTATGTGCTGCAAACTTGGATGGTGTCACAGATCAACATTGGAGGAAGACCAGGTTCCAACTTGCTACCTGCTCTTTATGGAAATGGAGTTCTCTCCATTTTGGGTGTTGTGCTTTGCCGTCTGGTTCATCCCAATCTGTGGTGTATCAAGCGACTTGGAAACATCATCAGCGCGCCGCCAGTGTTGAGCACCATGGCCATGTACAACTCGGTCACATCGGTGGGTGGGCATCATCGCGGAAGAGGAACAATCATGGCACAGACAATTGTAGTCGCAGAGTATTGGTACATCATCACGCAGTCACTCTGCTTCCTGGGACTTGCCCTGGACAAGCACAGTGGAGAGGACGACTACAGCAGCTGGGATTACTGTCTCAAGGCCTTTCGAAACATTGCATTTGTTTCAGATTGGACGCGAGTTTGTGTTCATGGCATATTCATCAATCTACTGGACGAGCTCTATCTATCATCGGCTCCTTCGAATTCTACAGAACGAGACAGTTCGCCGGGGACCCATGACCTTTCTGAAGAAGAAAGTGACATCATGGTTTCTACAAAAGGGGCAAAAAGCCCTCGCCCCAAACCTCATAATGGACAAGACGAAGGCTATGGCGTTTTATCACCGGTGGCGTCATTGTCTCGCAGAGTTGTTGGTGGGAGCGCTTTCGATGTGGAAATTGACTAAAAGCCTCTCTTATCTACTAGCTAGTTATTGACCATGCAATGACCACTTAGTTGTCGTATTTGTAGTTTTCATCAGAAGCTGAATACCCATTCTCATGGATAGCTTTATGCCAAGTGCCTAGCTGCTATTCAGATTCATTTGTACAAAGTGCTTTGGGGGTACACGCTCAAACATGTGTTTCTCCACAAAATGAGACAGTCTCAAAAGCAAGGCGTCCTTCCAGTGATCTGCAACAAATTGAACACTGATGGGTAGCTTCTCTTTCTCTGAGTAAGCGACAGGGATTGCCATTCCGGGAAACCCACACAAGTTGACGAGTGGGACATAGCGCATGACAACCGACAAGAGAGGAAGATTTGACTCGCCACATTCCAATGCGTCTTTTGCAATCCGCGGGGCCACAATGGGACATGACGGCGTAATGAATACATCCATTTCCTCTGCAAAGAGTTTCTTGACGTACTGTGCGGCCCAGCCCCGGATTCGATTGCAGGACATCAATTCTGTCCCGGTCACTGTCTTTCCCATTTGCAATTGGATCTTCGTTGCTGGCTCGAGGTCGTCACGGTGATAAAAGTGAGTCTCTTCCAGTGCTGAAAATGCCACTGAAATATTCAATCCATGTGCCAAAGACATGGCTTTGAGGTGAGGAATGGATACTTCCACGACTTTTGCCCCGCGTTTCTCGAGCTCAGTGATGACCGCCTTGCAAGAGGCGGCAATCTCAGGGTCGGAGTCATTGAAGTAATCCCAGAAAACTCCAATTCTAAGGCCCTCAAAGTTGTCTATTTTGTCAAAGTCTGTCAAATGTGGTCGAGGCGGCCCATGCACATCCCCGTCGTACACTTGGTTGATCATGTGGCCAGGTTCGTTTTGTGCCAGAAGCGCATATGCCAGGGCCGTGTCGGTTGTGGTTGCCGTATTCACACCGGCATGGACATTGCCCGAGGTGACGCTCGCATCCGAGTCAAAGGGCACTCTGCCAAACGTTGGTGCCAGCCCAAATGCACCCGAAAAAGCTGCTGGCAGCCGTATACTTCCGCCTCCATCAAAACTAATGCCAACTGGAACCAGACCCGTCATAACTGAACACACTGAACCCGAGCTGGACCCCCCGCTGTAGCAGCTCTCGTCGTAAGGGTTGAACGGTCCTTTGTAATGCGAATTGTAGCCTAAAGGGCATCTACCATACTCTGTCAGCACTGTGGTGCCCAAGATGATGGCGCCAGCTTCTCGAAATCTCTTGACCATAATGTCGTCCTTGGTTTGTACGGGATCCGAGTCGAGCAGCGTCATTCCATTGGAGCGCTTGTATCCCTTGACTTTGATAAAATCTGTTGCAGCAAAAGGATGTGAAAACACAGTGAAATGCCAGATACTGCCAAAGGGGTCCTTGTCGAGATGTGGTGGTATTTAATAACAGAATCGTATATATTTGATGACATACCTTTTACAGAAACTGGGACTCCATCCCAAACCGAAAGTGGAGCTTGTCGTGCCCATCTTTCGTCTGATGCTTTGGCTTGCTCCATAACACTTTCCTTGTCAGAGGCCATGAACATGCTCATATACTTTAGCTTTTCCATTCCTTCCAATACTTGAGTCATCATTTCGGAAGGTTTGACAGCTCCTGACGTGTATGCAATGTAGTAGTCCATCACTCCAACAATATCCTTGGCCGTGTAGGAACGAGGAAGGCCCTGCTGCAGTGCATCCGTTGCAGTCTTGGCCATGTCATCGGTTACGGTCTTGCCATCGACTCGACAAAAGGGAAGGCTCATTATGGGGATGCGTTCACTTGCAATTTGTCGTGCCAAATCCCGTAACATCCAAGGATTGTTGTTATTCAAAATGGGGCGAATAATCAAGTGGCCCAGCACCTTGCTTCCAACAATCCTGGCGACAACTCGAAGCACAAAACCACTGCAAGCTGGAGAATTGACTGGTGTCAGGTCATATCCATGAGTGCCCAGCTTGATGCGAGGCGTTGGGGGGATTGGAACCTCACTGGTTACTAGACCGATCGACAAAAGGACCGTCAACGAAGCTACCACCAAAGCGATCGACATCCAAAGGTCAAGCCTGCCACCATCTTGATCAAACATATCAGTGTGCTTCCCCGACACCAACATCGCCAACGCCACGACCAGGCCTGCTCCAACCAAGCTTCTCGCTACCATGGGAGAGGCCATGATTGCATTATTATATTATATTATTAATAATTATTATGATTCGATTCTGATTCTCGTTGTCGACATCGGTGCTCTTCTCTCTCATGTGGAAGATTTCGCCGGATCCAAAACAACCTCAAGAAAAGATCCAAACTATCCACGTTTCAGCTCCACGATCGCGACCACGCCACTTCGAACAACTCTTTGACGTGGACCCCAAACAAAACCAGAGGCCGCAAAAGTCGAAGCCAAGAACCACTCGAGACCATGACCAAAACATCAGAGACAAAGCCGTTTCAGCATCTGCTTGATCAGAAGGACCTTTGGGTAGACATCATTCTTCCATTCGTTGGCATGGGACAGTTTGCCTTTGTTGGTGCTATTAACCACCAATTTTTGGATCTGTACAAGAAATTCTGTGATACCGTGGAAAATCCACCCAAGGTGTGGAAACCGAATCAAGAAAATATATGGGTAGAGGGGGCAGCAACTGCATCAGATACATTATTCAGTGCTGCCTTCGTCAATGTCTCCTGTGCCAAGTACTGGGAGCTTGATAAAGACAAGGATGCCATGAGTCCATGGACATCTGTCTGTCAGGAGGCTGCAAGCATAGGGAGCCTGCAAGTTCTTCAGTGGGCACACAACAAGAATCTCCCGTGGAGTGAAATGACATGCAAAGCAGCTGCCAAACATGGCCATTTGGAAGTGCTAAAATGGGCCAGAGCCAGTGGATGTCCATGGGATGAATCAACATGTCCAGGTGCTGCAGCTAATGGATACTTGGAAGTGTTAAAGTGGGCTCATGAGAATGGTTGTCCATGGGATAAACGGACACGTTCAGAAGCAGCCTTTTGGGAACACTTGGAAATTGTGAAATGGGCCAGAGCTGGAGGTTGTCCCTGGGATGAATTGGTATGCCACTACGCTGCTGGAGAAGGCCATTGGGATATCCTAAAATGGGCACATGAACACAATTTCCCATGGAAAAGAATTATTTGCATCACTGCAGCTGGAAATGGTCATTTAGAAATTCTGCAGTATGCCCATCAAAATGGCTGTCCATGGAACGAATTGGCTTGCTCTCATGCAAGTTCTAAAATATGCCCATGACACTGGCTGCCCGTGGGATCAAGAGACACGCTCTAGCTAGTGCTGCTGAAAATGGACACTTGGATGTTCTACAGTATGCCCATGAAAATGACTGTCCATGGAACAAATCGACTTGCTATCGTGCTGCCAAAGAAGGTCATTTGCAAGTCCTAAAATATGCCCATGAAAATGGCTGCCCATGGGATGCAGTGACAAGCTCTGGTGCTGCAAAAAGTTGACAGTTGGATGTTTTACAGTATGCCCATGAAAATGGCTGCCCATGGAATGGGCAAAGTGTTTTATGTGCAGCAGCAGCAGGAGGCCATTCCCATACCGGTATGATCAAGTGGATGCGTGACAATGGTTTTTTTGCGTAGCGGATTTGTATACCTGCTCCCTGTCTTTCTAGATGGATTCGTCGATCCCTGAAGCTGTATTATATCAATACACGTTGCAACAATTGCTGAAGCTTCGAATTGTAGCTGACCTTATTTATGCTATAGCTTTCTATTTGACAACATTCCACTGAATCGAATCACTCATCTATTTATTTTGTTTATTGTCTATTAGTAGTAGATGACGACGATGAGAAGAGGAGTTCGTCTTGTTTTTCTTCAGCCCGTATCAATTGTAATTCCCTGGACGATTGCACCAACCCATTGAGTAGTGGAATGAGACTGAGTATGATCAACGCCGAGACGACCACAGCCGCTGCGGCATCGGCTTCTTCGGGCGTCACCCACTCGACCAGTTCGGAAATCGACGATGCGACCAACACAGCAATGCTTCTCAGGGTATCGGCAAAAACGTGCTGTAACGGTGGGAAAACGCGGATGTTAGTTTGCACTGTTCCATTGTTGTTGTCCGATGCAATGCCAAATAAAAGGATACCACCA